TCTTTTCATTGAAAAGTCTCCCAAGTTCAATTGCTTTGAATACTAATAAAACTTGGCACAAGTTGACTAGAACATTGCCTTGTAACAACCATGCTCAGTCTTAAATTTCCTGTTACCATGACAACGGAGGGACATCTCAAAATTGCCAAAAAATCACTATTTGTGTTGATTTTTTCATCAAAATGATTTTCAAAGTGCTACAACTTCTCAATGGATTCAGGTATCATGAATTACCATCTACAAGGGAGCTAACTGATGTAAAAAAAATGGACAAAAAAAAGGAAAGCGGTGGCCAGACTTTATTTGAATTTATTTCAAAACAAATATTTCAATACATCAAGGTCTAAGTCACATTACTTTCTACTGTATAACATTTTGCATGTACACAATCTCATTTTTTCATCGTTTCACTGCAAAACAGTACTGTAAATAATACTCACATGGTGATGTGCAAACAAATATAATGTGCAACAATAATAAAGTATGCATCTTTTGATCAGCGTGAATAGAAGTGTGAAAAATATTACTAAAGGGTATATTTGATGTTTAAATATCTTTTTTTCATAAATTGACATAATGAACAGTAAGTGCATCCTTGCAAACACTGATCCACAGCAATTTTATACAACATGATGACCCGCTAACCGTTATAATCCGTTAGTGGTTTTACTTTAGACAACACAGGTCATAATGTAGGACACATATCATAACAATGTAAAACCAAAACATGGGGAATTATTCTGCAGTTTTAATTTCTGCGGTGCTAAAGCTGACCGCAGAATGCGCAGAAATAAAGTCACCACAGAAAAAAACACTTACCACAGTATTGATTTTGTAATTTGATTATAATAGAACTATTTAAATCTTGTTGATAATATTTCATGCTTGATTAATTTTGTCTACACTAAAACAATATCTTTTATTTAAAGTTACAAATTGGTAAATGAATTTGTATTGTCTCTTATATAAACCCCTTCATTATAACAAGTACCCCAAGCAAAAGTTAAAAAGCAAGATATGTATCTAGTAACAAAGGTCAGATTTTTCAGGGAAATAAATAAAAGCCAAAGAACAATATATTTGACATTTATTATTGTTCTATGTTTATTTATAAATGTTTCGTGATAGTGCCTAATGGTGATGACAATTTTTTTTACTTTATATATATATTACATTTTGAACTTTATCTGTAAGCCCAACCCTACCCCTGGTCTTTATTATTAACCAGTCTGAAATTTGCCCTCACCATTTGTCTATATATATAAATATCAACACTCAAATGTTGTCCTCCTGGGCCAGATTCTAGCAGGGACAAAGACTTTTTTAAAGATTTAATAGAATGGTAAAATCCAAAACAAATTCTTTTCTGTACTTATTTAGGGCAATCCCACTCTCTAGGAAGGAAAGTTTGAGAAGAAAGAATCTGCTCTTTTCCCTCTTCATTTCATTAACTAGTCTTAAAAGCCTTGTTTTGGGTAAATAACTGAAATGTCACAATGCAGTATTTAAGAAAACAAAAACTCCTTCAAGGGCATGTCTACTCTACTGTAAATCCTTTTATTGTATTGTTCTTTACTTCCAATAACACATTACATGTAGAAATATAACACTGTACTTGTAAGAATAAAATAAATATTTTGCAGTTATGTTAAAATCACCATTTTAAAATTCATCACTTGTACTTTTTTCCTATAAAAGGAATTACCATTTTAAGAAAATAAAGTAATAGACAACAGTTGTTAATAAATCTTAATCTTTAAGTCCCTACTGTTTGTAATTACAGAAAATCCATTTGTGCTTCATAGTCTTGCCAGGTGTATCAAGATTTAAATCCTTCACAGTGAACTCAGTCTCACCAACAATAAGGTGTAGACCATGATCCCACTCATCTGGCCATCCATCTGATGGTGGTATAAGTGTTATTGTTCCTACTAAGCTACAGTCCTCCTCTATACAGTATTGAGGATCTTCATGGGTAGATCTATATAGATCTACAAATCTCTCTTCACATTTTTCTTCTACTGTAGTGGCTCTATCATACGCTTCAAATGTAAATGTCTGTCCATACTCCACTATCTGACCTTTTTCTATCATCTTCCTAAATCTCCATTTACAATCAAAGTCCCCATCATAATTAACCCTAAGTTGTTCTGGATCTATTCCCGCTCTAAATGGTTCTTTAAGATGAAATCCATATGTGTACCTGGACCTACGTTGTATGATGTTTTGAGGTTTCCAGCCCATCATGACTGCCCCATTTAACGCAGCCAGTCTAGCATCATCTACAAGGATTAACTCTCATGTTACTGAATGTTGACTGAATTCTCTCCCTTACATAGGGAGATTCACTGTACCCTCCAACTAAAATGATTGTTTTGATTCATTTTCATCACATTGGTCTAGTACTTCCACCAACTTGCTAATGATTTTATCAACTGAATGGTTTAAATAATTCTTCCAGCATCTCTCTGTTAAGTAAAAGTCTAGCTTCAATTGAATGATACTCGAGTTTTCTGGCATATTTCGACTTATTTACTTATAATCATTCAAGTTCCTTTTTTCCCTCTTATGAAATGCACCAGAGCATTTTCCATTTTCAGTTGTATTGTATTTGTTTATGATTTAAACTCTTTTCTTCAGTCTAAACTCATTAACAAGGCTTACACATGCTGATGGTAGGTAGGGTGAGAATTCACTCCATACCTCTTCTTCTACTAAAGTTTCCATCATGTTAATAAAACAATCATCAACATCACTGCCACCAGAGGTTTCTCCTGTTGTTCGGTATATTTCTTGTATTTTGCCACCATCTATTATTTTATGAGCACATATGTCTGTTGTCCCTCCACCTAAATCAGCAAGTATGTACATAAACCCACAAGGTATTGCTTCTGTCATTATTCGTGGTGTACTGTATAAAGCTGCTGCTTCAGGCTCAAGAACAAGTCGAAGATGTGTCTCCAGAATTCCTGCTTTTGTTGAAGCTTCTCTCATAAACTGACGTGCCGAGTCAGATGATATTGCTGGAATTGTTATCATCCATTGAATGTCAGTTTCTTTCAGTTGAAGTTTTGATTCACAAACGATTTGTGATGCTTCATCTTTTAGATTTTTTATTGCTATTGAAAAAACTGTCATAGCTTCAAGTGGTTTACCAGAAATATCTTTTACTACCATTTCTCTTTCAATTTCACTTTCTTGATATATTTTCATTTTAAAGTTTTCAAAGTAGTAAAATTGGGATCTGTCACATTCAGAAAGCTCATGAAAATTAGTCTGTGCTTTGTATCCAAATGAATGGAATGTTTTGTCTGGTTTTAATAACAATATTGTAGGTACTCTATCTTCCTGCAGCATTCCTCCATGTTCTCCTGATTTTATTTTGTCTTCATATCCCTTAAAGGAATATGCAAACCCGGAATGGACTGTTCCAAAATCTATGGCTACTACAACAAGAGGCTTCTGTCTGCTTTCATTACTCTGTTCAATTTGTTGTCTTACTATTGGTATTACAACAAGTGGCTTGTCCACTTTATCCTCATGTAGTGAATCCTCATGTAGAGAATCCTGAGATTCTTTCTGTCTCCTTTCATTACTTTGTTCATTTTGTTGTCTTATGGCTGGTTGTACAACAAGAGGCTTATCTACTTTATCCTCATGTAGAGAATCCTGAGAGTCTTTCTGTCTGCTTTCATTACTTTGTTCAGTTTGTTGTCTTGCTGTTGGTTCTTTGATAAGTGGCTTGTCCATATTATCCTCATGTAGAGAATCCTGAGAGTCTTTCTGTCTGCTTTCATTTCTGGGTTCAGTTTGTTGTCTAACTGTTGGTTTTACAACAAGTGGCTTGCCCTTTTTATCCTCATGTGGAGAATCATGAGATTCTTTCTGTCTCCTTTCATTACTTTGTTCATTTTGTTGTCTTGCGATCGGTTGTACAACAAGAGGCTTATCCACTTTATCCTCATGTAGAGAATCTTGAGATTCTTTCTGTCTGCTTTCATTACTTTGATCAGTGTTTCGTCTTGCTGTTGGTTCTTTGATGAGAGGCTTGTCCACTTTATCCTCATGTAGAGAATCCTGAGATTCTTTCTGTCTCCTTTCATTACTTTGTTTAGTTTGTTGTCTAACTGTTGGTTGTATGGCTGCTCCCATACTTGTTACAGTTTAACATTACCAGCTTATCTTAACTTATTTTCCAGTTGAATTTTGTGTCTCGCTTATTTTTGAAACTTGCTGTTTTTTCTCTTGCTTACAGTGTTTTGTTGATTCATTTGTTAGTTGTAGGACTGTGCTCATGACTGTTGTAGCATTTTTAAAGTGTTCATCGGAGATCTCAGTAGTGAATTAATCTTAAAAAGAAAAGGAAAAAAACTTTTGTCATCTTTTGTTATTGTAATATACTGTAATAATGAAAATCTATTGCAAATATTTCAACAGTATTAATTTTGATAGATTTTAAAGGGACTTGATTGAGGTTTTTGACAAGACTGGACCCGAAATATTGTTTCTGAAATTTGTGTATCATTTAAAGTTTATGTAGGTCTGGAACAATAACTTTTGTTCATATTTTCAGATCATTCCCTCTCTTCTCAAAATTGATATTAATTTTGTCTATTGTTGGAGGGGCGATGGGGGTATTCACCCATATTTTTGAGAATTCCCCCCCTAATTTTTTCAGAGGCAGAGGGGAATTTTTAACATAGAGAAAAGAAGGCAAAAGATTAACAAATGTAATGAATTAATGAATTCTTACTTTTCGAACAAACCCCCCCCCCCTGTTTTTTTGTGTTAAATCCTAGAATTAAACACTTGACCAGTCGTACTAATAATACACAAAACACACAAAAATTTAATTCTCAACACATTCTCTATTATCCTTTGAAAATACTTCAATTCTAATGCTTCACTTGATGTATGTTAAAATTTTTCAAAATTTTAGGGCTTTAGACCACATTGGGCTTCCTTTAAATATAGGTTAAGAGTGAAGAATAATTGATTAGAAAAATGCTGATTTATTATTATTATTTGTAACATTTCATAAAGATTTTAATTAATATTCACTTACCATTATCCTATTTCTCAAAAATGTTACCACTTCAATTTAGACTTGTGCCTTGCATGTACATATTGATTTTCATTCACCCACTGTGTCAGCTTAAAGATTTAATTTGGAAAGAAGATATGAAGTATATAGTTGTTATCTCACTGGGACACTCAAATCTTTTTCTCCAAGAGCAAATTGATCAGTTGTATCAGAAGTGATTTTAGCAAACAATTTCATTGATTTAAATCAAATCACCAACTTAAAAACCTAGCTAAACATCGATTCCCCATTTCTTTCTGTACATAGCTTTTGGGAATTCAGCTAATTTTGCTTGTAAATAGCAATAAGCGATGTTTTTGGCCTTTTTTTGGTTAAAATGCAATAAAACAATTTTTTTATGAAACAAAATGATTAAATATCATTGAAAAAATAATTCCATGCAAAAAAATATAATTGTTAATACATAAGTTTACGTGGAAAATTGCTCTTTTCATTTTTTTTCATTATGGCAGGTGTCACTATGACTTTTTAAAAAGTTATAAATAATTTTCATTGTAAACAGTCTAATTTTTGTAAAATTTGAGATGCATAGCAAAAGGAACATTGTCCTGTTATTTCATAGTGAACTCAGTCACACCAACAGCATGGCACTGATCCATGTCCCACATATCTTCACCCATTGATGGGGTAATGTTCCCCTTTCAAAAAGAGTCAATCCCCCTCCTCATACGGAAAATGAGATCCCCTAGGGTAGATCTATATATAAGGGATGACCAAAAACGTTAAAACTGATTTTTATCCCAGGGAGGGGGGGGGTATTTAAAACTTACTTTTCTTTTTGCTTAAACAAACTTTTAAAGGGTCTAAGTGTTTAAAATATGAACATTTTATATGGTGAAAAATTTGTTCAGAACTTTTTTTATTTGCTATATAATTTGTTATTGACCTTTTCTCAGATTTGCGGGGCTCGTCCCCCCGAGTTTTTACTTTTGATTTTAAACCCTTCCCCTCACCTCTGTGGTTCAAATCCTAAAGGGGATTTTGGATTCTTTCATGTGAGGAACTATCCAGCTAGTCATGGGAAGTTTGTGGTTTCTACTCAGGGCCCTGTGCTAAATAATGCAGGGGCCCTTAAGGGTCTTCCTCCACCAGTAAACTGGAACGGCCATATTAACCTTATACTTGTCATGGACGTAAAACCAAAACAAACAAACAAACAAAATCTCAGACTTGCCAATAACATCTGTCCCAAAATTTTTGGGAGACATATTGTTTTTTGCCTTTGCCGTCTGTCTGTACAAACTCAAGTGACATTATGGTGTGGGTTCAAGGTCAAGGTCACTAGAGATGATAAAATATCCAGATATTGAGAGCATATCTATTATATTCATATCTTTAATGTCCACATCTCTGACAAAAGCTTATGTGACGGGCACATTTTTGCGACACTGTTGCCCTTGTTTGGTATATAATATCATCTAAAAGCTCCTCTACCATAGTTGTTCAAACTTTGCCCTATTGTTAAAATTGGCCCTTACATAAATACTGTTTGTCTTTAAGTGTGCACTTTGGGTTCTTATTTTACAAATCAAATTTTTTCCTCATCGGCCAGAGACTTGCAGGGACATTGACTTTTTGGGATATTATTTGTTTCTTGAAGATTTAATAAAAAGGTCAAATCCATCTACTTATTCAAGGCAATCTCAAGTTCTCTAGGGAGGAAATTTGGGAAGAAAATCTGCTCATTTCCCTCTTCTTTTCATTAATCAGTTTTAACACCTTGTTTCTTGGTAGAAAACTGAATATCCAAGAAATACTTTAGAAACACAATTACTCTGTCTCAGAGTAAATGTTTACAGTAAATCCTTTATTGCAATGTTCTTTTCTTCCATAACACTTTCCAAGTAAAATACAACACTAAGAATAAAATAAATATATTTTGCAGTATCCATTTAAACATCACTATCTTGTTTTGTTAAAATGCCATTTGAAAGTTTTCTCAGTTACTTCATCACTTCTCCTTTTTTTCCTGTGAAAGATATGACCATTTTAAGAAATGAAAGTAATAGACAATAATCTATTATTACGTCCCTACTGTTTGTAATTACAGAAAATCCATTTGTGCTTCATATTCCGTCCTGTATGAAGATTTAAAAATACTTCACAGTGAATTCATTTCCCAACAATAAGGTGTACTAGG